CATTAACCCCCATCAACAATTTAATAATGGTCAAGATGCACACAAAGTGACAAATTATGATGCAGTTTTATTTTTACATTTCATGTTTGAAGATTGAACATTGTCGATCAAGCAAGCTATTTTGAATCTGATATGAATGACTGAGATCTGCTTCTGAAATGCCTGATTTAACACTAAAAATGCCATCTTGAATCAGATCATATGAAACAAATGCATCATGTGTACATGGTGTTTCGTCCATGAGTGTCCAAGATCCCAGGAGAAAAGGTGACCATATATGACCATGTTATTGTGGTATTTGTAGTTCAGGGAAGGTGATGGACAGTGAATGTGGTTAACCTTGTTTTGTTAAATAACACTTTACTTTGGTCACTGACCAAGTTAGTTGATGTCAGTGACTACAGTACTAGTAGTTAAGAATTGACCATGATCAAGTGTCAATTAAAAAACGTCTGCATAATTTTGAAACAACTCTGGTAAAACATGATCAGACATCATTGATGTTAAATTATGTGAATATCAAGATATATATAAATACATGTGTACTTGTATGGCTGAAGCAGAATAAATTGAAAATAATTATTATGAATAATTTGAAGACTATGTACAACATTTGGTTCTTGGCCTGGCAATGGAATACCTAGGCGTACGCAACCATGGATGAACTACCAAGGTCATTCGCCTTTTCTTAATTGAGAATCTACCAAATGGTAGACCAGTATTCAATGATGCCAAATAGTATTCACAACAAATATTATTATACATCTATCACCGTAACGCCATATTTTACAGCATGCCGTAATTTTGCGGTATTTTACGGGGTATTTTCATCCTACCATATTACGAAATGCGAATTCCAAATATGGAATAATTACGCACATAAGCGTCCTCTAATAATAGAAACAAGCATTGCTGCCACCAGGGTTTGACCGGACTTGACACAAAGAAGTTGGCTGTTTCTGTTCTAAACATTTTGGATTTCTGCATTCCCATGATGTATCCCATGCGTGTCGGCTGATACTTTCACTGTACTATCTTTATGCATACTTTGAGGTATCTTTGTAATAACCTCATAATATCATGTAATGAAATATAACCAGGGATTGAAATAGAATTTTTTTCCTGCATGCACAGTGTGCATGTTGAATTTGAAATTTACCTGCACAAACTGGTTGTGAAATGCACCACTTTTAAAGTATAAATAACATTTACGGTTTATCGATTGGTGATTGATTTTTTAGTTGTCTTACAATGTTGGTTGAACTTAATTTAGGAATATAATGAATATAATGAGAAAATGTGTTAATTTCTACATGCACAGCGTGCACATTATAGTTTGAGTTTACTTGCACTAGCTAATAATCTATGTGCATAGTGCAGTGTGCACCAGGGTATTTCGACCCCTGATAACAGTATATGGTTCCTACCCAACTGGTACATGACCATAGGATTCTATAAGCATTAGCATGTTTATCACAAATTACAGCGACTTACAGGTCACTATTTATTACTCACATTGTACATCAACCATTACTGATGAAGTATCACTTGGTGTTGTACCATCATGCAATGTATTTACTGCTTTACATATATAATCTCCAGCTTCATTTTTATTGATATTACTCAACGTTAAAGTCTTTTCTGATTGTATCAGTGTTCCTGATGGTTTCTCCCATGTGTAACTTGGAGTGGGATTACCAGCAGCAGAACATGTAGCAATGAATGTACGACCTTCTATGACTTTACCATTACTTGCATTGGTGATGGATGTTAATTCT